CGACGGCAAGTCTCTTGGGATCGTTTTCTGATTCATCGTTTTGCCGAGGCGGGAATTTATCCATGTGTCAGTCAGTTTTCCGAGCCTCGGCAGGCGGTGGATGTGGACATCTTCGGGCCCCCCGGGGGCCGAAACATATCCATATCCACCGCCCGCTGGGGCACCAGGACGTCGGCTCCCAGGCGGTGGATATGGATAAATCCCCGCCTCGCAGTTTTGCCGGTCGGCGCGGGCCCCCCAACCCCGCCCACCTCCCCGTGGAGCAGCTCTTGGCTGATTTTTTGGGGCGCCCGCCTCGAGCGGGCGGAGGCTCCCCCAGAGGCAGCGCTCCTGCAGGCAGTCGCACCGAGCAGAGGTCTGGAGCCAGACCCCCCCCTCGGAGGGCACCAACTATACACCAACACCGATCCTGGCCCAGGATCACCCTGGGCCCAGGATCGGTGTATATGCCTTCTTGCGCAAGGCAGGAGGGCGTATACACCGATCCTGGGCCCAGGGTGATCCTGGCCAGGATCGGTGTTGGTGTATAGTTGGTGCCTTCCTACCCCCTCCCCCCTCGCCCCCTCCTCGCCCCCCCCCCCCCCTGTCCGCCCCATGCCGAAACGCCGAGCAAAACACGTCTCACCTGGAGCCCCCCGCGCTCCCAGAGGGGGCCCTCTCTTCTGTGGCCCCGCGGCCCATCTGCACCCTGCTGGTTTGCTCTGGCCCCCCCACCTTCTGGGACGGTGGACCGGTCGTGGAGCTCCCTCCAAACCTGAGCGCCGAGAGCTACGGGCAGACAGCATTACACACATGCTGCTGCGTGCTGCGTGAAATGCTACTGTTAAGTCGGGCCTGTCCCCCTACAGGGGGATTTTCGACGAAAAAAAAAGATACCCCCACAATAAGCAAACAATAATCCAAAAATAGTCTGGGGACTATTTTTCGAATATTTTTTGACCCTTTTGGGGTATTTTTTTGGGTATTTTTTTTTTTTTCGTCGAAAATCCCCCCGTAGGGGGACAGGCCCGACATAATACTGCCGCATGCCCCGATCGCGAGTCTCTCGGGCCCCCCCCCGCGCTCCGAGAGGGGGCCCCGGGAGCAGACGCCCGCCCGCTCCCGCCGGGCCCTCCGCGGGCCTCTCCGCCCGCAGAGGCAGCCCGCCGCCCCTGGGCTTTTCGCCCCCGGCGGAAGACCTACAGTGCCGTTTTAAATACATGCTCCGCGTGCGGATCATGTATTAAACAGTCAGGGGTTGAGCATTAAAAGCAACGATGAGTTCATGCATGAATTTATTCATACCTTAATCATGTCTTACAAATCATGCATTTCAAACATCCTATGTATTAAAAACTGCCCTGTCGAGATCCGACGTTGCAGAAATCCCATCGGCGTCAGCCCAACATGCTTCTGCTATGCTGACGTCGGGCCTGTCCCTCTA